TATAACAATATTAATTTATAACAATATAAAATAATAATATAAAGAAAAACGTAAAAAGGCAGGGACGTTAAACTACCACCTTCCCCTCCACACAAGCAGCGAGCTGTGTTATTTTTAGCGCGCTGCTCGACATAAAGAAAAAAAAATGTCTCCTGTAAAATAAGGTTTCCTCGGCTAAGTAGGATCTACAATACATGATTGTATTTGTGAATAGCTTGCCAAGGACTTGGTCATTGACAGAACACCGTCGCCAGTGTCACATTTTGTAGCTTTGAGATTCATTGGAACCCCCCCCCCCCAAAAAAAAAAACCCCAACAACAACAACAACAACCAAACAACAAACAAATGAAAAAACAACAGCGAACAAACAAACAGTGCTAACCTAAGTCAAGTGCACCCACCAACCACCCACTAACAACAGTCTTTCATACCACAACCACCACAACAACCACCACCACAACAACCACAACAACCACCACAAACCTGACCAACAAAACCCAAACACACTTAGCGCCGCCGTATAATGACGGTGGCTGGGAAGATACAGAGGAACCTTCTGTAACCACAACCTGTTTAAGACAACCACCTGTCTAAGACATCCACCTGTTTAAGACAACCACCTGTCTAAGACATCCACCTGTTTAAGACATCCACCTGTTTAAGACAACCACCTGTCTAAGACAACCACCTGTCTAAGACACCTGTATAAGACAACCACCTGTCTAAGACACCTGTATAAGACAACCGCCTGTCTAAGACAACCACCTGTCTAAGACACCTGTAAGACAACCACCTGTGAAAGACAACCACCTGTCTAAGACATCCACCTGTTTAAGACAACCACCTGTCTAAGACATCCACCTGTTTAAGACATCCACCTGTTTAAGACAACCACCTGTCTAAGACAACCACCTGTCTAAGACACCTGTATAAGACAACCACCTGTCTAAGACAACCACCTGTTTAAGACATCCACCTGTCTAAGACATCCACCTGTATAAGACATCCCCTTTTCTTCTCCACAAATGGCGGCCGCCCTGGACAATTCCGACTACGGTACGTCATGACAAGACTCAACATAACACATGATACAGCAGAACACCGACAGGTCCACCACACAACACTCACAAATCACGCATCTGTCAAACTGTGCCTGCAGTTCTCTTTTTTCTTCTTCTTTATCTTAGTAAGATATCCCAAGGCCCGTCTTGACAAATTCCAGCTGTCCGTGTTGTACTGTATATTATATAATAAGAATATATATATATATATATACCGGGTATAGATTGTATCGTCAGTTCGTCTCTGTTCCTGACCAGGCCACCAGAACTGCTAATTATTCACCTAAACAATCTGAATGGAAAGATGTATTGAAGGCCACAAAGATGTGTATTTCTGCTTCACAGATTGTTCAAAGGCGTTGGCTCAAGTCAGACATGATGAGCTATTGGAAATACTGGAAGAGCCAGACACAGATGGAAAAGATCTAAGAATTATCAGGAATCTGTACTGGGACCAAAACGCTGCTGTACGAATTAATGGAGAATACACACATACACACACATACATACACACACACACATACATACACACACACACACACACACAAACAGTGCCTCCTGCATGGAGGAGGGGGGGGGGGTGAGCTAGGGTCACCTATACATTATAACATTATATCGTACAAGGTACAACAACACATCTATTCTATGGTCTATAGTCTGGTCAGCTCACCAACACCACACCACTCACACTAGCAAAAATCTACACACACACACACACACACACATCCGCACACAATCTCTCACTCTCATCCACAGAGAGAGAGAAAACCATCCAGTCTAGATTTAGAGTTTTACGGCACTTGCCACCAGAAAAGGTCACACACACAAAATATATACAAAGATTGGAGGTGTTGCTGGGGACTGACTCATACAAACGACAGACTTACACGCACACTCACACACACACATAAACCCACACACACAACGACAGACTTACACACACACATAAACCCACACACACAGTCTCAAGACCCCCACCAAACTCCCACACATAAAAAAACAGGCAGAAATGAACAAGATTACTGTGTAGTAAACACTCTTAACATCACACCCC